GGGGGAAAGCGGAAACGGAAACCAAGGCAAACCGAAAAGCGAAGGGAAAACCCACACAGAAACCCAAACACACATGCGTATATGAGGCTGAGCCTAATCGGTATCGTTAACTCTAACTTCAGGACCTCTTCACCCTGGATTTTCCAACCAGTCGTTACCAATTTCGTCGCTTGTTTCGTATTTTCTCTCCTAGTTTCGTTTCTTTTGCCTTTCGCCCTTCGTTTTTGCGTGCTGGCCGCGTTTTGTATAGGAAACTCGATAATTTCCACCAATTTCCTTTCGCCGCTCATGTGTATGTGTGCTAGCTCTGTTAACTGAAAAAGTATGCGTGTCCATGCGAAGCTCATAAACTGTGTGTCGGCAATGAGTATGTTAATTTGGTTAGAGGTGAGAACGCAGGTGAGAAATAATTTTGGGGCGTGGCATCGGCTAAATGCCAATGCCAACATCTCTTTTGTGTGCGTGATCGGCCAACGAAAAAAAAAAAACACAAAAAAAAAGAAATTAAAATGAGACAGATAAAATGGGAAATGGGGTTGGGCCCCAATCGAAATTACTTACCAAAGTACTTCAAAACAAAACTTTGCCACACAAGACGGAAAATTACCCAACAAAATTGCACTTTCGTGATAAACTTTTCAACCCGTTAATTCCACTGTTTGTAAAGTTAGTCTTGAAAGACTTAAGTGTCAATTTATCTCGAATACTGGATTCTGTAGTTTGTTTTTGCAATTAAGTAAATCTAAGTTTGTTTATATTAAAACATCCCAACTAATTGTGTATATCAGGTATATTTCTTGTGTCTAATTTATCTGCAGTATTGGTAAAATGTTTACTATCAAATTGTTCAATGATTAGCAAATAAAATCAACACTTAGAAATAAAATATGTTGATGGAATGAAGTCCTGAAATACAACCCGATTCTGTATTTAAAATTTTAAATAAACATTCACGAAAAAAATGAAGGGAAATTATAGATTAACATACTAGTTAACAAAAGCAAAGTCAATTTTCCAACCAAATTGGCCATTGGCCATAACCTATGTTGATTGGCCCCTTGGCTAATGTTATTTGTGGTCACTCTACATGTTTGTATAGATTTTAAAATTTGATTATGTTTGTTTAAACACTCATGAATTCTCACATTTTCCACTGATTTAATTGAATTCCACGAGTGGCAAATAATATGTTGTTTTCTGTATAGTTGAAATGCCATCATCGTTTTGGTTTTATAAGTTATCCTATTCATAACATTCCGCATTTGAAATTCCGTGTAAATTAAAATTCTCTCCCATTTCATTCTTCAATGGCTTTTCATTTCACTTCACTTGGCTAAATGGGTTTGCGTTAAATTTATTTTCGGTGGTCTCTCAATTGTAAGGCCTCCCAAAAAGCTTATTTCTCGCTCCAAAACTTGCCACATTTTCAAGTTAAAAGACTTCCTTCGAGGCGTTTATTTAATCTGCTGCTGAGTGTTCCTGCTTGCTGTTTTTTTGCCTTTGCTTGGGGTTTTCCACTTCCCGTTTCGCTTTTCAACTTAATTAAGAAATCCAATTAACATCATTGACATTAGATGTCCTAGAATATGCGCAATTTGTTTTGTTTTTATTATTTTTTTTTTTTTGTTTTTTTCGTTGGTGTTTTCATGAGCACATGACAGCCGAAAAACAGACAAACACACTCACGCATCTGCCGAAAAATAGAATTTTCCTTTTTCTTTTTGCATATGTATTTGTGTAGACGGGGCGAAACAGGACCTCGCTGGCCACCCCCGAAAATCCACACCCTTTGCTGACAAGTAGGCGTTGATGTTGATGTTGACGTTGGTCTCGTGTGTGTCCCTCCCCCGAAAACGAGCGACCCTCCGCCCACCGCCCGTCGCCACCCATTCGTTGCGTGAGTCCCGAAATTGTGCGTGTGTGCGGCTCTTTGGTGGGGTGGGGGGTGCCGAAAAAGTGGGTGGTTGGGCGGCCAGCACGCAACAAACAAACGATAACAAACAATTGTGGCAACGACATTCGGATACTCAGTGTCTCCTTTTCCCCTTCCGTCGCCCCCTCGAAGTTCCTCCATTTGTCTTTCCCAGATTTTGGTTGGAAATGTTCCGTAAATGCTGATTGTAAAGGCAGGGCTGGGAATCGTGTTTTGAATCGTGTTTACTGGCCCGAATTAGAAGATGTCCTTGAAGAGGTTTAAGAAATTTCAAGTGTCACTGAGCTTGATGTTTAGATACACTTTCTTGGTGTCTGCTTTTAAAATCTTAAACTCGACAGCAGTGTGCATGTTTCTTTTAGGTTCATGGTCACACTGTCAAGATACATGGTCGTATGGCTAAAATACAATAGTGGGGTGATAAATTTTCTTTAGGTTCTCAATAAAAAGAAAACTTTAATAGTGCATTTGGAATTTATATTTTTATGACTAATAACTAATGGTATTTTTTATATTACCAAATGTTTACGTTAAAATTTTTTAATTCCATGCCCTAAAAAGAATGATATTTTATTGGTAACATTTTTTTAAGGTGCAAATTCTGATAATAAATTATTAAAAGCAGAATATAAAACAAAACGGAAATCCAAATAAAAAAAACCTAGACCCTTAAACAATTTATATCACTTTATTAGTAGCTCTTTATTTGAACATCTTCTACGGTTTGACTGCCACTCAATCGAACGAAAACAAAACGATGGCACTCCGATTTGTCGTTTCACTCCATTATGATAACACTACCGGGGTCAAAGAGCAGCACATCCACGCCCACGAATCTGTCAAATTATCCACATGATCGCCCCCTATGTTTCGCTGCAGACCGGAGCTCAGGAAATCCCAGTCAAGTCGGACAACTTTGGCTCATCTCCTTTCAGCTGGCTTAAACAGTGACACAAGTAACACAACTGCACGAGGAGCGGGAGCCACATTCAAGCAAATCTACTTAACATAAACCAATTCACACACACATACATGCAGGTTGGGGCAAACACACAAATACAGAGATACAAGCACTAACACACTTACACACAAAGACCTAAGAGAGAGAAAGCAGGCAGCTTTCATTACAGGGGAGTGGCTGGCTTTCACCGAGCAACTGACAAACTGCGAAAGCCAAAAACTGATTATGGCTTTACCCATTCAAAGCGACAGCATTCTGCACTTGCAAATAGACAAATGTGTGTATGAGTGCTCTAGTGGGAGAAAGAAAATATAAAGAGAAAGGTTTTTGAATGTTTTATACTTGAAAATGTAATATAAAAAGCCGCACTTTGCAAAAGTTTCTCTTCGGAACAATTTATACAATAATAATTATATAAAATGAGCTCAAATTGCCGTAAAAAGTGCAAGGAACGCGTAGTATGGCCACATTATATGTTTTAGTGTGACCTTGCAAGTAGTGCTTGAGATATAGAAAAGCATATCAGAGATATGAGCTTTTATATTAAATATTTACAGATTTTTTTTTAAATGTACATTGTTTCGAACATATTGTTTAAATACAAATTATTTGAAGTGATTATTATTATTCAAATACCTTCATCAATAAATACATGTTTTTTCAGTGCACCTTTAATACAGCTTTAATGAGAAATAACGAGAGCTGTGTGCAGCTAAGTTACATTTCGAGTAAAAATAGAGACATTTGCAGAATGTGAAATTAAAAATTATGCTATGTACTTAGCACTCAACTTGCTTGCTTTCCTTGGACACCCCTTTTTCCTCCAGTACGGTTTTCCTATTTTTTTGCGCCATTTCTCCCAAGATCCCGTAAGTGAAGTACAAGTTAAGCTCGAGCCTTGTCGCCCAGTCACGTAGTCTTTTTTCCCATAGAGAAGGTGCCTCCAAAAGATAAGGCGGGCAAAATGGGGGACTGAGCTGTTCTTTATAAACAAATATTTGGATTTAGCAACTGAGTGAGCAGTTAAAAGGCAAAAGGAAGCTTAAATTCAAGCTGAAAAAAAATAAGAGGAGCTAGGAAAGGAATGAATTTTATTTCCAAGCTGAATTTTAGGCAGTCCTATGGGACTCCGTCTCCCTTTTGCTCGCTGTGTGTGCTTGTGTGTGCCTAGTTTACGACTTTTACTACTTTCTTTCCACACTCTCTCTCTTTTCCACCCACACCGCTTATGCAAAACCGCACCCATATTGAAGGACAAGTAGGAAAGCAGATTACTTATCTTTTAGTTTTCATTTAAATATGAAGACCAAATGTACACACACGCCGCTTTTTCCTTTTCACTTTTCTCGACCATTAGGCCATATACTCGAACATATACAAAGGAAAAGCATGAAGAGGAGCTCCTTGGGTTTTTGCTCTCACGCAAAACTCTATCTTTTAGCCAGATAAAGATAGAGCAAAAAGCAAGTGGATTTCTTCTTATTTCCCGCCCGCCCTTTCAATTCCCGGTTTCATCTCGAATTTTTTCGTCTATTTTTGGTTAGACGAAAATAATTGGATTTACACCGAATCAAGAATTGAGATGAGAACCAAGGAAAAGAGATGGAGATGCGGCATGTGATGATGTCGTCATTCCGGAGGATAAAGAACGGTTGGCAGGAAGATGTGGGTTGTAAAGGGAACTCAAATTGGAGATATTCATAAGTGAAATTTGTTATTCAAATGGAGAGATAACGGAGGGCTTTTGAATTGCAAAGGTTTTTTTAATAAGAACCATAAAAAAAACTACAGAGGTTTTCAAAATTAAAACCATAAAACAGTGGCAAAGGTTCATAAAATAAAGCCTGTAAGGAAAGTTATTTTAAGGCGGTAAAGCATTATCTTCTTCCCTTAATAGCAAATAAAACTAAACAAGTTAAACAAGTTCCAGAAATAAAACTTAATTAAGTTGATGGTAAAGTATACGAATTCGATTTTACTTACATAGATTTTCACCCAATGCTAGTTGCTTAAGCACCCGAGCACAAACCAGAACCAAACACCATTTTCTTTATCCTTTAAACCAAATCATTCCTAATAATGCATTTGTAAATAAATAAATTCTAGCTCCGCAAACCGGCGTCGACACTCTCAATTCCTGGCTCGATGAAAACACCTTCCATTGCGAACCGGGAACAGATCTCATCTGGATGCAACGAAGAAGCGGCCGAGGCACTAGTGGGTATCCACTCAGACTACCCTAGGTATGAAATGTATGTATAGCCGATCCGCCAGTAGAGTATGTATCCACAAAAGCGTGCATTCATCAACCTCCCCCGCCCATTCGACAAACTCCTCCACCTAGAGTCAATTCCAAACTGATTAGTAGTTTCCACACCTTAAAAAAAATATCGATGTAAACAACCAAACTATTTGTGAAGGATGATCAGGTCAAAAATAGTAATCCAGCTTAATAGAATCGAATATTTTGAGAGGTATATTAATAGGAAACATAATTTAATTGGGTGATATTGAAAATTAGCAAAGTACTTATATAAATGTAAGTACCATTCTGAAATCTGATTTTAAAACTCTTTCTTTTATTACAATTTTTAAAAAACCACTTTAAAATGGCAACAACTAAAATTTGACTGCAGAAAATTAGGAAAATATGACAAATTTGTATAGGATACTATAAACTTGTAGAAATAAAATAATGCACACAGAAAAAAGAGGTAATTGGCCATATATATAGCTTGAGAAAGTGCCTCATAAAACAACATTTTCGCAATATTTTGTATATTATATAAGAAGATGTTTTGGCTCAGTGTACGACTTAGAGAATTTGCAGTGCCACTGAGGTCTGACATTTGAGTGTATGGGAAACGATAACCGTAACTGTGGTCAAATCATTGACTGATGGATAACCCGGGGACAGTAATTAGCTGTCAATGTCAGGACAAGGGACCCCTGGATGATGATTTTGCGAGGGCCAAAATTGAAATAGGGGAAAGGTCCGGGGTAGTAATATTCATTGGGGAGCGCTTGAGAGACCGCGCGATTCAATTTGAGCACTCTAAAGTGAATTCCGCTCACGAATGGATTCTCGGTTCTGAGGTCCACATAAATCTCTATGAATGTCGTGGATGGCAAGATATTTTCCTGCAATCACGTTGGCAATTTGGCACAGTTCAGCAGTTTATAAAGGGGGCAGGGGATTGGATATATATGGCTATGGTTGCGACTACCTTTGTGACTGTGACTATGAGACTATATGGGCATCGAAAACGAGGACAGCCAGCTGTGAGCGTCTGTGTATTTTCATTTGTCAGCAAATTTTTTATTGGCCATCTTTGGCTCATCCATGAACAGGGGACGCCTCCCTCAACCCCTCTACCCCCTTGTCGACGGTGTCTGTGTATCTATAAGATACAAATTGATATGACACATTTAGGAAAGCCGGAGCAAAGCGAAAACACACAAATCTGTCATTCAGGCTGTAAGATTTATTAAGGTGCCGACTAGAGTTCAGCGGAGCTGAGTTAGAAACGCTCGAGTTGAGTTCTGTTGAGTTGAGCTGGGTTGACTTTACCCCCGGTAACCCCCACGAGGAATCTGCGAATCTCGACAGCCCTCCAGCCACTTAAGCATTAGTCAGCGATCTGTGACAAGCACTCAGGGGGTTGAAAACCTGTGGAAATTGTGGGAAAATAGATTAGGCGCTTGGCAAATCCTGCTTGTTAAGTTTTCATTAAGCAGTAGCAGTTCGTATAATTTAAATTCAAAGAAAACAAACTGCAAGTTAATAGGATTATAAACATGGCTCACAATCAATCAGTAATTGAATGCAATCACAAAATAGGTCAGTAAAACCAAATCATCCGAATTAATGACAATTAGTTGATTTAGTTAATACTATGTATTTGCTTTGTTTTCATTTTTTTGTGTAAACCTATTACCAAAACTAACATTAGTTGTTAGTTCCTGCTTAATCAGCAATAAGTCTGAACGAAAATCCTCTTCTCTAGCAAACTATAAATAAACATAATCAGCTGGCAAATTGCATATCCTTTTGTGAAGATTTTATGTAAATTAGGTTCCACCAACCCAATTAGATAAAAACACACATTGGTTTTCTTCACTAGTAGAGTATAAATAAATAGCCACATCACAAGTAATAGGATTTCAATCCGTACGTAGAATCATTCATGGCAGGGAATTAAGAGGGCTTAGCGAGATATACTTAGATATTCATACAGCGAATAAACAGGCAATTAATAAAGGGGTAAGCATTTGAACGATAAAAAAACATATGAAAGGTTATAGAATCAAAGAAAATTAAATTGCAATTGCAAACATAACTGATTATTAAATAAGCGAACTATATTTGAAACTATATTTAATATTAATTCGTTAATGTAGCTAAACATCGATCCTGAACTATGTGTCAGGTCAGAAAAAAAAGATTCCAGTATAAATAATGATGTCCTTTAGCACGAATAGCCATCTAGAACGTCTGATACAATAATTATATACCCAACACATCCCTTAATTAAAGTAGTTAATAATCGATGTAGCCAACATGTAGCCCGACAAAATGGAGAGCCCCGTGGGAAGGGGAGTGTGGTAGTGAGTGTGGGCTTTGGCCACCCAGCGCCTCAATCTGATTGAACTCCAATAACCCCGCAGGTATATGGAAGAACGTGCTCTTACTGGCGGCAATACGTCCAGGAAGCCATCGACAAACTCGGCCAAACACAAACCCAATGTGGGCTATCGCCTGGGAAAGAGGAAAGCCCTCTTCGAGAAGCGCAAGCGCATCAGCGATTACGCCCTGGTCATGGGCATGTTCGGGATCATCGTGATGGTAATCGAAAACGAGCTGAGCAGTGCCGGTGTCTACACAAAGGTAAATAATATAAAAATATAAAATAATAAATAAATATACCTACTATAGTTGTGAAAAATATCCTTTCCCCCGAACACATTTCTTACGAAAGATGGTCAAAGATTTACCGATAAATACAAAAATTGTATCTATTTATTCTAGCTACTCTGTGTACTACATAATATTTACTATACACCATTTCAATATTTAGCATTTAAAAAAATTAAATTATGAACCCAATTAATCTCAATCTTTTATACTTATAAAATAATATTTGAATATTAACATGATTTTTAAAATCGTCTTTTAAATAATAATACTGAATGAAAGTAACTTATATACGAAACCGAAACGTATTTTCATATTGAGACTATTTAGTAAGAAATGTGTGATAAACATTTTATTTGTATGCCCTTAGATATTTATATCAGCCAATAAATCCTTAAAGATTACTAAAACTAATTCGAAAACGCATTTTTCCCACTTTTCAGGCATCGTTCTACTCAACAGCGTTAAAAACCTTAATATCTGTTTCGACTGTGATTCTTTTAGGACTTATAGTAGCTTACCATGCTTTGGAAGTGCAGGTGAGAGTGAGTGCAAATTGTATTCTTCTCTTCCAGATGTTATTGATGTTCTTGCTGATGGTCGTCATCGTTAACTGTTTAACGTTGCCGTCGTCACCCTCGCTCACTGTCACCATAATACCGATAGACCCCCAGAATTCCCAGATATTAACCTAAAAACCCCCTATATTGTCATGCCAAGCCCTCGAAATCCCGAACCCGTCATCATCGCCATCTCGGTTTGTTTGTATGTTTGTTAGTTAGTTAGTTTGTTTGTTTGCTGTTGAAAAACGTTTTCTTGTATCCGGTTATGATTTCGATTTACTTTCTATTTTCTTTTTTGTTCTAACTTTTATCGTGTTTCTCGCATATTTAGAGAGTGACCAAAAGTATTGGAAAAGCGGTAGAGAGTGCATGTGCGGTGAAAGTTAATTTGAGTGAGAGAAAGTGACACCCCGTTTCCGGTTCCGGTTCCGTTCCCCATTCGTTCATTCCACAGCCAACCTTCCTACGTTCCCATTTCTACCTCGCTCCATTCCAACATTTCTCTGGACATATTTCATACTGCCCCTACAAAAAAAGAGAGTTTCATTCCACCTCAAATATCCAAAACGAACTAAAAAGTTAAGAAAGCTGAAACACTGTACATAAAGCTAGCCATTCTCATTCACCCAACTCACCTTAACCACATTCACTTGACTATTCACCACAGTTGTTTTCTGATCCCCGATTCTCGCTTTTAAATTATAGAAAAAAAAAACAGTTAACCCGAAATTTTGACAATTGGCTTTCTTCTTTTACTAATATTTTCACGCAAAAATTTAATTAATTTTTCCTAATAATCTTTTCTTAACCTGATGTAAAATTTCTGCGTAAATTGTTAACCGACCCTTTTGCAAACCCCAAAAAATTACATTCCCTGTGGTGAAATTTCCTATATCGATAGCCCTATTTTGGCATTTTCATTTTATTCGTTTCATTTTCATTAAACGCAGATCCCCTGAACATGATATAGACCGGAACTTATTGACAATACTATATCCATTCCATACCAAAATCGTTTTCGTACTCGTTTACCTCCAATATGCGCTTCAAATACCAGTTGCATGTACAGCACTATAATTTGTTTAATTTGCTCAACATTTTGATATATATGAGCCATATATAAATATACTTATGTATATCTTTATATAATCTATACAATTTCCACTTCTACTTCCTATTCTTAAACTTATTGGTTTCGTCTTACTTTACTCGTTTCGTTTACCTTACAAACATAAAAATATAAAACCACAAGAAAACCAATCAATTTAGTCAAGACATTGTGTTAAAAATTATCGTTGGCATGAGTTAATATATAATATATATATATTTATTACCATAACGCAAAACCTCAACCGAATTAAAAATAAATTCGGTTAAGGAGAGTTTCGTTTGGCATTTAGAAATATGTAGAAAGCATGGGAGCATTTATTTGCCTAGTACGTAATTCTATTGATTCTATCTTTAAACATGAACAAAACATAATTATATACTACAACATGATTGATAACAATATTATCTATTAGCAACATACTCGAATAAAACCGAAGAGAAGTGGAAGAAACTCGAAAACCCTGAACTTTCGTTAGCTTCATCGAATGAAACTGAAATACTGATGTTTGTAGGGACCAAAGTCCTGTGTTCAGTGATCGAATTTGGATTGGTAATTGATGTCTCCATATCGAAAACTCGATATGGCTATCGATAGTCAGCATATCAGCCTCGTTATCGCAATAGCAATCGAAAAAACAATAGCAAAACTAAAAATAAAAATAAAACCCCGAAACCCCAATCTGTCACAACTACATTCAACCATTTCCATGTCCATGATTCAATCAAGCCAGGCCATTGATCAGTCGTCTTTCAGTCAATCAATCAACCAAACCAGTCGTCAATCAACCAGTCAATCAATCAAACCAGTCAGTCAGCTGATAAACTTTCTATATATATATATACAAATAAAACCCCCAAAAATCTCATAATTCGTATTCTCTTCACACAATTGTTCTCTCTATAATATAATTATAACTCCGACTAAATGTTTAACCCCCCCAAATTAATGTTGATGTTTAAAAGTAAAATTTTAATATGTAATTACCTTCCATTATGCTTTGCAGAATTCAGTAAGTAATACTTATTATAATATCTACCATACATACTTCAATATTTGTGAGTAAATCCAAATCAAAACCATGCATAGTGTTATGTACCATATACGGAAGCAACCAATACCAATACTAAAACCAACTCAAATCAAAACCAAAACAGAAACAAAAAACCAAATCAAACAAAACATGCCTAGAGTAGATAAACCATAGATCGTACTTAGATGGGGTATACGTATAAATACTATATGTATACCCAAAAATGCATATTGAAGCCAAAAAGCAGAAACCAAGCAAACTTCAAGTCGATGTTTAGTTGAAACTGCGCGTACCTGTACTCATAAATCGTGTCTAGTGTATATACTATCCTTATTTTTATATTTTTTTTTTATGAAAACTAAAAACTGAATACCCTAAACTGCAGTTACCGATACAGATTATACCGTCAGACGCTGTCCAAGATCAAAGGCAACCGCTTGGCTGATATATATATTTTGACAAATGTGCTTAGCTGTGCACCCGAACCACCTAACCGCAATCTCACCTTGTCTTGCAATACAGTACTGCGTACAGTAAACACTGGCCATGTGCGAACCGATTGTGGAAATGTTTAATCTTAAGGTGGTGCTTTTAAATAGTTGGAATGAGACTACAAATACTTGTAGATAAATTCTGAAAATTCGTTAAATTGTCCAGACATTTGGAAACTCAATAATATTACAAAAGATATTCCCTCAAATTACTTACTGAACAATTAACAAAAAGCTCTAAAAATTAAACTTAGTTTTGAAAATTCTTAAAGAAACTTCAGGATAGACTTTAACTGCAATCAAATTATAGTATACATAAATACATTTATATTCGAATTGCTTTTAAAGTTAGTTTTTGAGAATGGTTTTTCTTTGGTCTTGGAACGAATGTAAATATTTATAAAAAAGCTTACAAGCCACTTTGCTTTTGTAAAGATTTTCAATCCGTAAGCTTAACAAGTATTAAACTTTAAAAATATCCAGTAAATCATTAAGGAAACGTTTTCCAATCGGCTTGCAAACATATAACATAGATGTACATGTGCACAACATACATACAAGCATACTCGCATACATATGAGCATTCCCATTGCTAAGTCGATACTGAATATATATATTAATCGATATATGTACTATCGAACATCAACCTCATCTATCACCAAAATTAGAAGCAAAAATATTGGAGTTTGCCAACCCAAAAAGAGAACACAGGACTTTGTGAATGTGAGATAGGAAAGACCTTGCACACAGACCATGTCGTAAATCGATAATCAATTAATCAGTCGGCTTAACTTGCGAATGGCTCATATGCAACTAAAAACTAAAGACACATCAGAAGACCATGCCTCTCCAACTAAAAGAAAAATAACGAAAAGTGCACATATCTTAGATTGCTGTGCGAATTGCCTTTGCATTGAAGATCGGGAAATAGCGATAGCTTTCGATTGCGCTACCAAACATATCGGTTTATCGACTATTTCGATATTTCCCATCTCTACTCTGCCTAGATGTTGTAATATTGATATATGTTTGTGTATACGGCCTAATTGCACTGCGAACTCTTGATTAATGCAGTTTAGGACTTGGGGGCTTCCGATTATTTCCGATTAAGTTCAGTGGGGGTGATTTTGAACTTTAGAACAATTGATTTGATAAGGAGTAAGGAAAAAGGATAACGGTAAAATAGCAACAAAGAAAACAAGAACGAAATCGAGTGAAACGTGCTAATTACACAAGAACACGCACGCTGCTTTCTAGTAAGTACTTGCACTCACACATGCACCAAAGCACACACACACACGCACAACACACACCTTTAACTAAACCAGAAAAAAAACAAAAAAAGAAAATAACATAAGACATGAAATGAATTTCAGAGGAGATTCCATAGCTTACGATACTTGAACTTGACTCAGAATGTGCTTCCACCACTGAAACAAAAACCATTAACACACACACGTAGGCACACACACTTGAACACCCGCACTCACCCACACATACACCTCATTGACGTTGTACTTGTCAAATAATTCATGCTCGTATATTTGAGTGTAATTCATTTTTGTTTAGTCGCAAAAAACCAAAACCCAATCAATAAATTTCCAATTATAATTAATAAATGATATACTTGTTCTCCTTTTTTTTCTTCCCCTCTCGTTTTCTTTTCTTTTTTGGCACACACCAACGAACTAAATAATCGTATAACCCCATGTAATCCATTTGCGACTATAATTCCAATCGAAATCGAAAACACAGTTATTCATGATAGATAACTGCGCCGACGATTGGAGGATCGCAATGACATGGCAACGAATTAGTCAAATAGGGTTAGAACTTTTTATATGCGCTATACATCCAATTCCTGGCGAATACTATTTCCAGTGGACGACGAAATTGGCCAATAAGAATAAAACAATTGGCACCGAAATGGTGCCGTATGACGTAGCTTTATCATTACCTATGTTCCTTCGATTATATTTAATCTGCCGCGTAATGCTGCTGCATTCAAAGCTATTCACAGACGCATCATCACGGAGCATTGGCGCTCTCAATAGGATTAATTTTAACACAAGGTGAGTTTACTCATTAAAAAAGACATCAAATTTTAATTCCTACACAGTCATTTCGTCAGTATTTGATGAGATATTAAAACAAGTTTTATATTAGGTTTAAAGATAGTTCAAGAACTTAGGATGCCATCACAATAAAAAAACCAAATAATCTGCATTAAAAATAGAAAAAACTTTAAAAAAGAAAACAATTTCGCAAACATAGCATTTATTTGAAATTGTTTTTTGTTGTTAAATATAGCAACATTGAAAAACATTAACCAAATTATTTCCCCTTTCAAAAAATTAATAAAAGCTTCACAAATTGCAACATCAACTTTATATATTTGTATTGAAAACTTGTAGGAATTTTGATTTTACTGTAATTTGTTTAAGTTCAAAATAATAATGTCTATAAATAAGGTATTTATATACATACATACATATGTTTAAGACAGCCAATATTACCCCAGATTAGTAGGATTCCTTGCGTTGCCAACTAATTACCATTATTTGTCAATCTTTTTTAGATTCGTTTTAAAAACTCTAATGACAATATGCCCGGGAACGGTTCTATTGGTCTTCATGGTCTCGCTGTGGATCATCGCATCCTGGACGCTGCGTCAGTGCGAAAGGTAATGGCCATATTATATTATCCATTTTATGATATGATATTTCTACTTGTTGAGATTTTTAGTTTCTTTATTATTTTTGTTTGATTTTTGATTGTACTTATGCTTTCGTTTTTTTTTGTTTGGTCTCAATGGTTGATTGGTTTCCTTAGTTTTTCGGTTCTTAGTTTTCCTTATTCTGAACTCCGTTTTGCGTTACCCGTATTTTTGTTACGTTTAACTCTGAACGCCATTTCCGTTTACCGTACTGATTCAATGTGTTTGCCACTAATACTTTGACATAACTATTAAACGTATGTATTTAATATCAATGTATGTATGTACATAAATGTATGTGCCAAGCATTACGTAATGTCTTCTCCAAGAAACTAAAAAAAAAACTTTAAACTCAAAAACTCGAAATTTAAAACATCTCCGTCACAAGTTGTATTTGCTTTTTTTTTGTACTCTCCTGTATAAAATATATTTTAAAGTCGTTGAAAACATTTTAAAGTCCGGAAAAAAGGGGCAAGGGGGGACTTGAGCACAGCCACAGCTTACAATATACACGATAAAAAAAGCGAATGCGCATTGTTGCTTATTCATACATGCTAAAGAATTTACATGTAGCTTGCATTTTATCCACACACACACACCAACAAAAACGAAATCCCCGACGAAATACCGAAACTGTAAAGAGTTCGAATGCGAATCTGTAACAATCGAAATGCAATTGTCACTGTCACGTAGCGAACGATTGGATAATGGATAATGCTTGCATGTGTTTCAATTTATTTACATTTGGCATTCGGATTCGCTTGTTTTTTACCACCTCTCCCACCATCGCCCCTCCATCCAAAGAACCCTGATTGCTGATTGCTTTTTTACATTTATCTTGCCTGTACTTTTCCCCTTTTTTGACAACTGACAACTTATCGATATATTCGATGAAAGTTGATTGAAGTCCAGCACTTCTCGAGGGAAAGGGGCAACAACAACAAAGCAAACGAAACACACACCCAAATAGTTAAAAAATAAAAAGACAAATAAGTAGAGTTGGAGAATGCTGTAAGAATTACACAGAGAAACAAGATGATGCACCTGAAAAAGTTTGCTCTTGATTATAGGCGCAGTGTAACCTTGCACCTTGTGCTCTTTTTTCGGTGTGCATGGTCACACTGTGTGCTTTGTATGCATCTAAAGCTAATTAAAAGCAATAGCGAATACTGTGAACGGTACATAAGAGTCCATCTTTTTTCTTTGTATCGCGTTTAAACCGTATATACATGCATTATTAGCGTTTAAACCGTATATACATGCATTATTATCCCTAGCCCGTATTATCCCATTTTGTATACTTTTATTAATCTTTGAATCTTTGTGTTTGAACGTTGTATGCTAGATCTGTCTCTCTTTCTCTCATCTTACTCTTCTTCAGCAAACTCTGGTTGCTTTTTTTAATAACCCCTATATAATGACACTCTTTATAAGCTCCTTGAATTGGCGCACCATATGTTCCTGTCGCTTTTTCTCTCGATTAATTTCTTTCCATTGGCCTTTGGTATCCTGTTTCTGTCCCTTTCACATTTTCTCTACTCTCACTCTCACATTGATCTACTTCAGTTGTTCTTGCGATTCTTACATTTTTAATTTGATTTTGTTGTGGATTTACGACGTTCCTTAAGTTTTAAGTTCTTGTTGTTGTTGTTGCTGTTTAGTTTTGGGAAACGAAACAAAACAAAAAAAAACATTTTACATTGCATATTTATCAAATCAATTAAGCTTTAAATTGTGGATTGGACTGCGCCTGCATTGCTGTAGATCATATCAAAAACATCCATATATATATATGTAACCAAAAATAAACATGAAAGAAATGTGTTGATTGCAAACCAAAAAAAAGCAGAAAAATCAATCAAATACCGACCCAAATCATATGAGGATCCTAAGTCTCTCGAACCAACCGATAAATCCAACAGCTGTGTTTCTGTCTAGTGACGAAAGCATACACACCACTCCATAAGTTGTTGTTGTTGTTGCTGCTGTTGTTGTTGTCGTCCTTGTTGTTGCGATGTACCTGTAACCAATATAATCCTCACATGTCTGTGCAGTTGGATCTATATGTTTAAATATATATATATATATATGTATATAGTATTTGCATTGGCTGCACAGGCATGTCGACCAAATCGGACAATCTCAGCCAAAAGACAGAAAAGAATACGAGAGACAGAAGTACTTACACCTTCCTCCTACCTCTTCTTCTTCTTCTCCATCATCTACTACCATATAATGCCATATAAATATTCTCGACTTTCATTTTATTTTCGCCCCAGATGAGTGACATATATTGATTTGCGTGTCACATCCATCCTCCACTCGATTTGTTTCTGATTTTACTTTCCCACGTTTTCATTACTTTGTATTATTTTTGGCACATGGCGATAGACTGGACTGTTTAACAAACAAATGAAAAAGCCCAGTGGGAAATAAATGAAAAATAAATACATCGAGTATATCCTTTAATTTTAAAAACATACACCCAAAACACACTGCCCACGTCTATGTATTATGGTAACGATGTTGAATTTTGTTTCAAATTTCAGTCTATATTCGTATCTCAATGTTTTTTTCTGTAGAAATTGGTAGAATTAGTTCTGAATTTTCCTAAATTTTTATTTTCCGATTTGTCTGTTTTTTGGTCGGGTTCTCCCGTGGTCTCGACTTTATTTTCTGTTTTAAATCGTTTAACTATCTGTGTCTGTACGTGTGTCTGTATGTGTATGTGCGTATTGTTGGAGATCCCTGGAAAATGTATCTTAACCAACCATGCATGCGCTGCTCAGCTCGGATCAAAGCTCTGTGAGTTAGATTATAGGCCAGGGGATTGAAGGAGAAAGTGTGAAAAAACCAGGAGGAAACACGAGATTTGTGCGGTATTATAAGGGTGCTTACAAACACTAAACACACAAACACATGCATACACAAAGAAAACAAATTGAAATTTTTGATCTCAGAAAAAATATTAATTATTCAAGACACAGTTTAACGTAGTTTGACTTTGTAAGTTTACAAAATGAGAAAAATTAGAGAAAAAACGGGTAAATGTATAATGTTAACTCACAGACTGCTTTAATTTTAGTTAGAAGCATGGTCACACCGCGTTTTTCTATTAGTTTTCAGTTGTAGGAGCAGAGTGACCTTGCTACTTAAACTTTATATATCAGTAAGCATCTGAAGCATATTTTAAACATGTTTGTGGGTTTCATTTGATGGAGTAATAAAAACACATTTACGGAAATGAATGCACCTTTTCAAAAAAAAAATAACTAAGTAGCACAGAATTCAAAGCAATTCAAGCATGAATTTGTTTTTCCAGTGTACGGACTCTTGGCATTCATTATGATTTTTCCTTTGCAAATTGCTTAGTCCACCCATTCAGACACAATCCACCCACTCGCCCATCGAAAAACGGCACCCGACGGAGCTGTGCCGGCAGACATGCCTCAGCATTTAGTGGCCACATCTCTAGGGCTTCAGGTGGTAAGCCTCTTCAGGTAGAGCAGCGGGGTATTACGGGGCGTAACTCTCGGATGGGCCATTTCAGTCGTTTTGCATGTAGTCACAAGTGTGTGCCGTTTTGTGTGAGTGCGAGTGTGTGCATCTGTGCCGTTCAGATCAAGAGTTATCAGTTCGAAGACCCAGCACCACTCCCCAAATCCCAATTCCAATTCCAAGCCCCCTTTCCAATCAGACTTTCACGCCTCGGCAGGAAGAGGTGAAGATGAGGATGAAAATGAAGATGAAGAGGAAAAAGAAGAAGCAGGATGAGGAGAAAAAGGAGAATTATGAGAGGAAAACAGTTTTTGAACCGATGCCGAAGCCAGTGTTGTAATCGAGTTGCCAAACTACTATTCCAACTATAATTATTCAATAATATTAATGTCATTGTATATTTCAAAATAATCCCCCCGCCGCCCCCTTTACCAAAAAAATCTATCTACCTATCTCTCTATCTGTATCTTTAAATCTATCTAACTATCTCGCTCTTATATTGAGGGCTTTTAATTCGTTGCCCAAAAAGAAAAAAAAAACAAATCGAAAAGATAAAGCAAATTATTTTCCTTTTTAATATAATTTTACTTTTATTTGTTTTCCCTTATCAAATGTTTTCTTTATTTTTTGATTCGTAATTGATTCATTTATTTCTTTGATTTATTTTTAACTTATGCGTATTCTCTTAATACATGGAAATTTTCTAAAAATATGAAAAAAAAATTACAAAATTGTATTCTTAATTTTCTCGAAAACAAAACCAAAAACGAAAAAAAAATAAATAGAAAAAATTTAAACAAAAAATGTTCACATAATTTCACATCTGTTTATTTGTTTACTCCACTTCTCACCCTACTTCTGTATCCACAAATTGCAAAAAAAAAAATACCAACAAAAATGTATGAAATCGAATATATATATGAAATACCCAACAACCGAAAAACCAACCGCAACTTAAATACGCATACGAAATACGCACTACGCATCTGAAATACCAAATTCTTTATATACATTTTTGTGTACTGAAAACCACAAAAACTAAAAAACCGCTAATGAAAAAAAAAACCAAAACGGCAAAAACAAATTTATAAATTCTAATAAAAAATACGTATCATAAATGATAAAACAAAATGAAATGGCTGAAATTCGTACCCCATTTTTCCACATGCCGATAAATTCCAAACCAAAACCGAAAACCTATACGATCCGATCCGATTCGATCCGCAAAAAAGGTTCCACGATGAGGAGCACGCGAATTTGCTAAACTCCATGTGGCTAACGGCCATCACATTTCTGTGTGTCGGTTACGGCGACATTGTGCCAAACACGTATTGTGGACGCGGTATCACCCTCACCTGCGGCATGGTGGTAAGTATATCCTTCAAAAACCTAAAAACAAAAAAAAGCCTCAAACCTAAAAAAATACCAAAAAAAGACTCCCAGAAATTCCATTTATGATACTGAAAATACCTTAAAAGATACCAAAAACAAACTAAATCATAATAAAAAAAAAACAAAAATAGAACAGTACAGAACAGAACAGTTGCAAAAATAAAACAGAACAGAAAAGAAATATATATATATATATATATATATCTCCTTATATACAAACAATAAAGAAATCCTATAATAAGATAAACAATAAACTACAACAACTACAACAACAAGTACATACATCATCATCAACAAAAACCGCAACAACAACAGCAAACAGCAAACTTTCATGCATAAAAATATGAGAAATCAAAACCCATCGCAAGCAAAAGAGCAGTAGTAGAAGATAAAGAAGAGGAGAAGGTGGAGGAGGAGGATAATGAAAGGGGGGCAAAGAAAAGTAGCCGCCATAGAGGCGCCCCCGAAAACTAAAAAGAAAACAGATATATACATAGTATTTTATAGTAATTGTACCTGCCAAATCAACCGATACACACACACGTACACACTTCCCTGTACACCGAAAAAAATCCCACACATAATCTCTAGATATTTGAAATTTATTCATTCTTCCGAAAATCATAACCGGAATCTCTAACCACTAATTTTAAATAGTAAAATATTTTTGGAACTTTTTTAATCAATATTATTAATATTGGGTGATATAAATAATTTCTGATATAATAAATCTCTAGAGATTTTGAGGCATTCCTTAATGTATTACTAAAATTCGATACATATGTTTACTTTTCATAATATATTCTTAAAAAGTTTCAAAATCTTCTCAATTCTTAAATGCAAAAACATCATGATATTCCTATTGGATTTTTAATATTAATATTAATATTAATGTTTAGGGATGAAATCGAATCAAAATATAGAGCACAAATCAAATATTTCTAAATTGAAAAATATTTATATTTTTAAAAATATATAGATTGATCTCATATTATCCGAGTTGCTCACATATAGCTCAATTGTTTCCTGTGTACGTGTGTGGGCGTATTCCCTGACCTGTCTTCTCGATGCCCTCGAGTTTCCCCCACCAGAGTTATAAATTCAAATTCAAATATCCAAAATCCGTTTTGATGGAGGCTTCCACCCACACAAACAAAAGAACAAAACACATATCCATTTTTCGTAGCATACATTTCAGCGCACATATTTTAGATGCCGTTTTGTCTGCCCCAAATCGTCGCCAAAAACAAAAATAAAAAGCCAAAATAAAAAAATAAAAACGGAAAGCAAATGTCGAGCGATAGTTCTATATCTGTATCCATCTCGCTCTATCTGGTTTTTGTTTCAGTCAGGCCGCGATAAGTACATACAAACACATTACATTCCCACCCACCCACAAACACACACTCCGGCAATCTGTTGTAAATCATCACCAAAAAAAATATATATATATGTTACCACCCACTTTGTGTGCGTGCGTGTGTGTGTGCTGTATTATAAACATAAGCATACATTATACATGTATTTAAATATATGTACATAATCACCATGTGTGCGTGTGTGTGTTTTTGCAGCTTTAAAGAGCGCAGATAACAATGTAACTTTTCTTATTGTCCTTTTTTTTCTGCCAGCAAAAACTAAAACAAAAAATCTCCACACACTCATACACAGATGTACTTTAAAGAGGAAGCAGAGGAAAAAACGAGAAAAGTTTTTGCTTCCTGGCAAAAACAACAACAAAAACAAAAACAAAATCAAAACAAATCTTTTCTGACAGCTCCGGCAAATTCTATTAATGTGCACATTTAACTGTCTGCGTGTGAGTGTGCTTATGTGTGTGAGTGTGAAAGTGGGCCTGTGAGTGTGGGCCTTGAATTGTTTTCTGCACCCTAGAAGCTCTTTCCTTAAGAAAATCAAATCACTAGATTACGTAAAAAAAAATATACATTTTCAACTCTCACTACAGCAAGCTTTCATCGGGCCAAAACCCCCATGGTTGTACATATATACATATATATTAACGGTTACGTCCATAACTGTCAACATCTCAATATATCCGAAAACCGAAAAACCCCCCAAAAAAAACCAAAACCAAAACCCCATCAAGCTCTTTTTGGACCACTGTATTGTGTGCGCTCACCCGTTTCTCGTCCATTTGTTGTTAATCTCGTTTTCCTATATGCAGAATGCCCATTCTAACTTTTACATTTCGATTCCACAATTGTTTTTGTTATTATTTTCGTTGCCTTTTCGTTACTGTTTTCGTTACAAGTTTTCTGTTTGATTTTTTGGTTTACTTAATTTTACGTGTGTCAGTTTAGTTTTTAATGGATTCTTACAGTTTATTTTTGAACATTAAGCCAACAATACGATATTTTTCTCTATCTCTCTTTCCCTTTCATTTAAAAAATAAACGCGTATATTCAATTTGACCCCTGAAACTGAAACTTCAACTGATTAAATCCATAAAAAAAACCATAATCAATTCAAATAAATATATATATTTCGAACCAAACAAATATATATAAAAAAAACCGAAAAAATATAAAAACGCGTGCTGGTTTATGGAACAGATTTCATGATGAAGAACATGCGAATCTTTTGAATGCAATGTGGCTGATAGCGATAACATTTTTAAGTGTTGGTTTCGGTGATATTGTTCCGAATACGTACTGTGGACGTGGTATCGCTGTCAGTACAGGAATAATGGTGAGTTTTTAACAACAAAATATTACCAACAATTGCACACAACATAACAATCAAGAAAATTATATTTAAAAAAAAAAAACAAGACAAGAAAAGAAAAGAAAAACAATATGTTCTATTTGAACAGAAATCACGTGTAAATAATTACATAAGCTGCATACGAATGTTTACCCGCCCACCACAACCGCCCCTCGCCTCCACTTCTAACAAAAACACAAGAGAAAATCTAAACTCACCCGAATCGCAATATTTCTAGTTAACTGTACATACATATATAAAATACCTAGTTGAATCACCAAAACGAGCTTAAGAATTTTGAATTGAGGAGATAATTGCATGTGTTTTTTTTTTTAAGAAAAAACAGAGATCAGATTGAGCAATTTTCAAGCCGAGTTATAAAATTTTATCAAGTGAAGTATCTTGAAAGGATGATGAAACCAACAGTTATCGTAAATAAATCGCTAATAAAACATAGCATACAGTCTAGGAAATAGTGCTTATAACCGAATTAAATATATATTTTCCATACTTCTATCTTTCTCCACTTTTTATCCAGTTCTGCTTCTGTGTGGCTTACTTTCTTTCTCTCTCTCTCTCTATATATATATATACATATATAATCTATATCTTTTTCGATTTCCCCCTCTACCAGTCGTCTGACTATCTGCTTTTTTCTTAGACTTTTTGAGATATTTATCATGTCGTAGTGGCCAAAAAAAACAAAACAAATAAATAAAGCTATGATAGATATTTCCACTCCTAACTTGGCTATGAATTGTGGCTTATGGTTTCAACTTTGTTCCCTAGCTAATTGTTTCGTACTTATGTGTGTATGTAACTCTCTGCCAGACACCTCTAACTGTTGTACTACATATAGAAATGTGCCGAACCCAAATCCATTAACTCTTTTGATCTTACTCTAAAACGAAACTAAACCCCACATCCAACTCCGTATTTTTAAATTCTAACCGAAAACGTTGCTGTATTCCAATCTATCCATCTTTATCGTAATACCAATTAGAAGGAAGTCATCCAATCATCCATACTCATTCAACCCACTCACCCATTAATCGTTCAACCATCGAGAAGCAAACGAAATAACAAAGTGAAAAAAAAAGAAAAGAAAAGAAAAAAAGATGAGAACAAAAAGAGAACAAACTAAAACATAACATATATACATGTTGTAACATCCATAAAAGTACTATATATATTGTGAGAGCAACAACAAAAGTTCTGGACTATATAACTTGATAAACAAAAGCAACTTTCATTTTGAATGCATAAACCAAAAGTGAAAATAACCAACTGACATTACAGATGGCCGGGCACCCAATTCCGAAAACCCCAAACAACCCCAAGAAAAAACTTACATCAAAGAAAATGAGTGCAATTGTGTCACAATTAAGAAAATTGCCTTTGACCATTGGCCAATTTCAGATAATTTGGGGAAATTCTTTTCTTGTTGAGGATATTGCAAATTTTTCGTCAGATTTCATACGCAATTATCTATAATTTGGGTCAGTGTGTACATTAGGCTTTTATTATTCAAGACACTCTGAGTTTTGTTGCCAATTATTTCTATAATTTTCTGGTGTCTGATTACTGTAATCATAGAACAGTTGTGAATGGGTTTATCTGTAACTCAGATAATTCAAGTGGGTATTTTTTATAAATAATGATCCACAGTTAAAAGTCTAGAAAACTTGTAATTAACTTAATTTTATAATCGGTACTGTTCCGGTGTTTTATAATAATGAAAATGTATTTATATTGATTTATTGTTTGATAGATTAATCATTTGTTTTAATTGTACAAAGTAAATTAAAGATTATTTCACAGGCACTCAATATAGGCAAGTTTATAAAAAATGTTCCTTTTAAGACAATTTTTCGAAAAGCGTTAAGTAATTTAAGAAAATACACTTAAGGAGTTGGGTGTCCGGGGGTCCCAGATCCCAGATCCCCAGATCTTAGATCAGGCCTTAACTCACCTCAGTTGCGCGCGATATTCGAAATTCAAAGCCCAATCTCACCACTCTCCACATCGTCGTTACAGGGCGCCGGATGTACGGCTCTACTTGTGGCCGTAGTTTCCCGGAAACTGGAGCTGACCCGTGCCGAGAAGCATGTGCACAACTTCATGATGGACACGCAGTTGACCAAACGGGTATTGATCGTGTTTCCAAGTCTCAACTCTCAAGTCACTGATCTGATCTGATCCGATTTGATTCCATTCGATTCGATTCGATTCGATGCGACCGACTGACCAAACCGGAGTTACCATACACAGAATCGAATACCCCAAAAACCATATATGTACCATCTACCATGTATCCATATTGCATTCTAATTACTTTGTATACGTTTCTTCTTTGGACCAAAATTTAGCTGAAAAATGCTGCGGCGAATGTTCTGCGTGAAACTTGGCTCATTTACAAACATACAAGACTAGTAAAACGGGTTAATCCCGGCCGTGTAAGAACCCACCAAAGAAAGTTCCTTCTAGCTATATATGCGTGAGTATTTTTAGAGATCTATCAACAACCAATCAACCAACCAAACCAAACCAACAACTAAGAACAAATACCAATCAAAACTATAATAACTTAAATCGAAAAGAGTGCCTAAGAACCGAAATGGTATCAGATCGACTTGTAGTTTTCGGGTCTTTAGATTGGGGAAATCACTGATATTGATCGTTTTTGTTCGTTTATGTTCTGTCTCTTTTCTGTCCCAATATTTTCGTGACTAACTAACTCATTTGTCCACATATATATCTGTACGTTATATGTTTTGTCAGATTAGTTCCAAGCAATCAGATCCCCAGTTCGTAAAACTATCCCTGTCCTGTTCCCCCTCCCGTCGCCCATTCATAATTAGTGACTCATATTTGTGCCCATCAAAAATCGTAGGCAAGCTTTGGGAAAGCCATTCATCAGAATCTGTATATAGATCCGTACGAAACGAAAGTATATAACCTAAACATGAAAAACAAAGAAAAACGAACTAATCAAAATACTAAAAACGATAATTACCAAGTACTAAACTGAAATGTTGAAACCACAAATGATTGAACTCGTTTTACTAGCCTGTAAATAGGTTGTAAAGCCCTGTTTTTACGTTATGCAATAACCGAGACTAGCCACATAACCTAGCATGCTGCGTTAAATATTCTAGAATCTCGTATCTAAAACTATCGCAATATCATCTGTGCTTATGCCTAGTGCCCAATCATTATATCTCAATCATATCTGTTTTACTAACTGCCCAAAAGATAACTAATGTCTTCACCGCATTCCATTGCATTCGTAACACCCGATTCTTGTACTTTGTCAAAAACTATTGCCCCCGTTCCGCTGAATCCTGTGAATTGTTGTAGATCCATCTATTCTCCTCATAATTTTCGTCCGGGAAAATGGCTCAGGGATCAGCCGAATGATATGACGATGCTTTCACGATACGATTTTCTGCAATTTTAACGCCCGAAAAGAAATATGGACTTTTTTCTTACTCCTATTTAATCTTTTTATCAACTACGGCACAACGAATTCTACACACCAAAAAAAAATATAATCAAATAAATAATATTTTTAATGACTTTTATCAATTGAGCAGTGCGAATCGAAACCCTAAGAGACTTCAGCTTACTAAACTAGAAACTTAAATGTTTCAACTAAGGCTTGGTGCAAAATGCATAAATAAATTTTAATATCGGGGTTTCAAGAACTCTATTTTAAAGGAAATAATTTAAAAGTATCATCTTAAAGTTTCGAAACACATAGCTGCCTTTTTGTCCGATGTCTAAATACGTTCTATAGTATTTAATTGTTTTTTTTTGAATGGAAAGTGAGTTTTCGGCTAAACGAAACGGGAATATATTTTCCATTTAAAAGAATTATTGTGTGTTATTGTGATTTGTATGTGAGAATAAAAGGCCTAATTATGTTACGCGCTTAGTGTTATATGTTGGCTATATATCATATTGTATTTAAATAATGTTCTCTGTAATATTAATGACTCTTCCGATGCGATTTAGGTTGCGAAAAGTTAAAATGGATCAGCGCAAACTAATGGATAATGCAAATACAATAACTGACATGGCCAAGGTAGTTTAAAGTACAAACAGGGAAATACAGTCGAACTTCGTTAATAAGTGAAATGGAATAGCTAAATGTATTGCAAAATTGTTTTCACAATTGATTAGATTACTACAAAGAATCGCTCTCAAACAATTCTTATTTTCGATATTTTTCAATGAGGTTTGCTGAATCTTTCAGAGAAGTCAGATTGATTTTCTAACTATTTACAACAATTATCTTGATTGTAATGATATTAAAGTCAGATTTATTGAGCTTTTGCTAGAGGTCTGATTAATCGAGGTTCGACTGTACAGCATTATAGTATGCACTCCAATTGTGAATGACCCCCGATGTGCAATGCATGTTTGTGATTATGTGAATACCATTCGCAGACACAAAACACGGTCTACGAGATAATATCGGACATGTCTAGCCGTCAGGATGCCATCGAGGAGCGCCTAACCAACCTGGAGGACAAAATGCAGAGCATACAAGTATGACAAACAATCGGGAATGTGTTGCCCCACGTGATTTAACTAACATCCAATACCACTCCCCCTCCCTTTCCCCCTTTGAAATACTTCCGCAGGAGCACATGGAAAGCCTTCCAGACCTATTGTCCCGATGTCTGACACAGCACCAGGAGCGGATCGAGCAGCGGCGGAACTTTTTACATCCTGACACAGCTGCAGTTGCCCCCATTCAAGCACCAACGCCCCAATCGATGTTCAATGCAGCGCCCATGCTGTTCCCCCATTCTAGGTGAGTCGCCCCTCTCTCTCGCTCTCCTCTCTCTCTCTCTCTGTCTCTGTCTCTGTCTCTTTTTCTCTGTCTGTCTCTGTCTATCTCTATATCTATATGTCTATGAGCCATGTCCATTATCCTCATCCTCATCCACACACACATATACTCGTACTTGTACTCGTATGTCTATATCATTTAAGCGAGACTTGTGCCTGTCATTTCGATTTGTTTTTGTTCGTTGTCTGCGAGTCGTTTGTCTCCTTGCCGGGAATAACGGGGTCCCCACATCCCGAACTACATCCCGTCACCCACCCACCCATCCACCCATCCATCCATCCATCTACCCGTCAATCCATCCAGTCATCTAGTGAACTCATTTGTAAATATATATACTCCGTAGCTGTCCACTGCACACACTTGATTCCTCCAAATTATATCCCCAATCCCTGTGGCTACCCAAAAAAAAAAAATAAAATGTAAAGAGAACCTACTCCGTCTTCTATGCAAGATTCAAGTGATTTAAGACTGTGATTGAGGAAATTATTGTTTTGATTATAAACATTAAAAGGAACGGTCAAAACTCTTACACCATTTGAATTTAAAAGTGACTGCCCGTTTCTATTCTTGTTTTAGTTATAGTTTATATTTAAAATTATACTAAAAGGGCCTACAAGTTAACGTATAAAATGAAAGGGAATCAGTAACTAAAGTTCTGCTCGTATTTTTTATGGACACTGTTACTTCAAATTAAAAAAAAAACAACTATTAATTAATAAATTACAAGTTTGTCTTTGGGTCCTAATAGTGCTTACAAAATTTACATTTCTAATACTTTTTGCTACCCTTGGACGAAAACTTACTTGGGACTTTCAATTTTATCATTTTTCTTTATTGACTTTTCATGGCTTTCCATCACTATGACATTTCATGATTTGCATCGAATCAAACCATCGCCATTAAACGAAAAAGAAACAAAAAACAGTTTATTTGTTTTTGAAAGCGTACTTGATAACGACAATTAACATACTGCTTTTTGCATAGAAGTGTTCCCTCATCCAATAACGCCGCTGCTACTTACCATTGGCCAACAAGCCCTATTTTGCCACCTATATCTAGTAGAACACCACATTTAGTGCCTGATACTCACATGCCATCAAATGGATCTGCAGTTAATAGCTACGCATCTTCCAACAAATACGGCAGCTGAATATCAGAAAGAGAGCGCTCCAAATCCGTGATTAACATCGAGATGCTAACAATAAGGCCGGATCGATGCTGGCCAACATCATCCGCACCCCAATCCCAAAAAAAGTCAACATCAACGTCTACGTCAAAGTATAAACCAGAATTCGCAATGGCCGAGACATCGCTGAGGCAACGCGTCCAATCGCCGTCGTTATCGCAATCGCAATCGAAATCATCGTCCCAATCGCAAGACCACATTATGCACCAGATTAGTGGGATAATGCCGATACCGGAAGATGCCGAATCGCCGGGGAACACGAATACGAATAGCAACAGTTCGCCCGACCAGCAGTGTGTGCCCATGAGTGCAGTACCGCCATCGAGTTCAACGCCCGCATTTACGGCGATAGATGATGGTAGTTCGATAGCCGGAACTAGCGGTGGCATTGTCAAGTCGATAACGATGAATGAGCCGATTACGACGGAGAGTGGCAAAGCGATTGCCTCAAATAAGTTTACTAGGAAAAGAGAACGTGTATGCAATAATAGTAGTTAATAGTATTAGTTATAGTGATAGTAATAATAGAAGTAATAGTAATATTAGTAATTCTACAAGTCGAATTTCGAACTCGGCCTTTTGTAAATAAGCCTCTTCGAGATGAGAAAAAAGTCAAATGTTAGCATATACATAATACACACACACTATATATATCTGTATGGATATATAACACTCCCCCAGAAACCCAAAAGAAAAAAAAAACAATAACAGAAAACCAAACAGAATATATGTATACAATTGTGTAATTTTTTTTTTCTAAGTTTTAGGCTAAACGTATTTGTAATATTTCACATTGGGCCAAGGCAGCCTGTACTTGCATACTAAAATACATAACATTAAATAGCATAAATCGTGTGAGTGTGTGAATGCGAGTGTACAGGGCGAGAGTGTTTAGAATGTAAGGTCCTAGGAAATAGATCGTAGGACACCAGCAAGTAGAATCGAAGTAAATAAACGTACAACGCTCAGAAAGCAGAAAAAGCAATAGTTTAACCTGGAAAATCTGGTCCCTATCAGTACGACAACCACATAAATCGGTATATTTATCCCTATAATACTTGCAAACAAGATATAACCATAGGGAACTGCAATCCCCCCTTTCAAAGATTCCCCTCAGCACTTCCGTTTCCGGTGCATCCAACCAACTGCAGTACACCCACGAACATGGCAAATTCTAGTGTCCGTCTGTCGAAAATGTATGTGTCTGTATCCCAAGGATGTGTGTCTGACCTGACTGTGTGTGTGTACAATGCAAGTAAAAGCATACGAACAAACCATAAAAAAAAACCAACAATTATATACAAAAAGAGCAAAAAAGAAAAATCCCCAACCAAGAACAAAGAAAAACTATCTAACTGTAAAATGTATGTTACGAGATTTAGAAAACAGCGAAGCAAGAAAACCAAATACCAAGAGATAGAAAAACAAAAGAAAACCTATGAAAACCCCAAAAAAAACCGTGGGTAATGAAAAACTAACACACAAATATGAGAGTTCTTACTTAACATCTACTAGCTCTGGCTTTAACTAAACTAACGAAACAAGTTTAAAGGAAACAAGTTTGTTGTTGTCTTCTTTTTCTACACATATATTTAAAAATATATATAGTATATATACATATATATTTTCGTTGTTGTTGTTTTTCGCCTATTCTTTTCTACCAAGAATTATGAACTCAATTAAGAACCTGAATAGCTTTCGAAAGGTGTTGACGACGATGATATAGTAGCGTAGACTAAACCGAGAAACAAATGGAAACAAAATGCAAAACTAACGTATTAGTATAGTCTACATACTAAAGTGAACAATTTTAATTGAAATTTTGTAACATATTAAAGGTAATTCACATTAATATACAAACTAGGAGGTAAAAATGTAACAACGGAACAAACTACAAGCTCCAGATAGAAACTAATAAAGCCGAAACGAACGGAAGCGAATTGAATTGCAATTGAAATTGAAATGAGTAGAGCAGTATAGTGTAGACATAATAGCAGAAGTGGCCGAGCTACGTAAAGATTTTCTAAAGATTCTAAAAGGAACATTATATATACTATATACTTACTTAAAGTATTAACTGAGAGCATCGAAGTTATTTAAAGAAAAAACCAATGCAAAAAACAAACAATTAGGTAATATGCAACCTTCTAACGCTTTGTTAGGATCCCAATGGAAGGCAAAAGAGATTTACAACTGAATTCCCCGAATAGTGCCCCCCAAAAGTTCCCATTCCTACCCAGTTCCCCAGTTAGTAAGACAGACTCTTCATATTATACAAAACCAGGGCCAGAAAGGATCAAAATATCTGTAAACTATAGATTATACAGCCATAGGATGCAGTCCACTTAAGCCAACTAAAAGTATCAAAGTTTTGCCATATTGATTGATTTACCACATCTCCAAGTCACCTGGCTTTAGTTTGATTTTATGATAACTTCCCCTCAACCAAAAAGTTTCCCAACTGTCTGATAGGTCTTAACTTATATACAACAAAAATGCCAGACAGGAAATTGAGTCAAAGGAGAACAAACAACAAAACAACCAACTAAATAAACCCTTAAACAAATGTGTGTATACCTATTTATAATATTGAATATTTAAATTGAAAAGAACGTTCAAGACTGCTGTCAAAATAGCTTTATCACAAGAAATAACAAAGATCTACACAAGACAACAATACACCAAACAGAACAGAACTAAACGGATCGCAAAAGATCGATAAATATCGGTTTTCGAATCGGAACAAGCACCAAAAACACACGATAGCACACAGATACAGATACAGGTACCGATACGAGATATGGAATGCGCCCAGCTTTAACGTTATGTATTCATGCATATTTGGGTTTCAACTCTACTACAATATAAAACGAATACGCAAAATAATACTGAACAAAGATCGATATACGATTATGACTTAAATCAAATTGAATTGAATTGAATAATTGGTACAAGATCAAATTCCCGTTTGAACTGGTTTCCTACGCCCCACAAAATACCTTTAAACACGATACAAAAACTAAAAACTTTGATATGAGGGACCGAATTTCTAATGACAGGTCTTTATTATACAAAATACCGAAGAAAACTTAAAACCAAAATAATGAAGCAAAAGCAAACCAAGAACAAGGATTCCTACAAAAACTGAACCCAAAACAGTAACAATTTATTATACCGAAGATTTTTAGCCGCTTTTGAGCTGAGATACAAAAATAAAAAAAACACATGAAAGAATCTTATTGCACAATGTCCTTAGTTTCTTTCGTAACATCGTAGGTCCGAGTCTTACGCCCAGAATTTATGTTTTTTGTTGTCATATATTTGTTTGGTTTTTTTGTAAACCAGAAAAGAATCGTAGAGCTCAAGGGGTACTTCGAAAATCACGCTTCAACCGAAAAACTTCTAGCCAAACCTGGTCAAATTGACCATATATGAATATAGCCCAGCCAATGCCAATGCTACCAAAAAAAAAAACTGGATTCGAGTTTTCGAAATCGTATCAAACCGGATTATGACGATGCAGCCATTTTGGTGAATTTACACGCTAGAAACTAGAAAGGGTCCTCCCAAAAATATCCCCCATCTCCCCTCCCCGCCCCCGCGCCCAACTAGATCGAGGTATGCAAAATATATAAGGTTACATATACAATATCTAGATATACAACACACACATACTCGTATATACATGTACAGACGGTCTATGAGGTCTATATACCGAACCCAAAAACCAAAAACCAAAAAAAAAACCCTAGCCCCACACTAATAAGATCATATTTGACTTTATATGTATTATAGTAATGTATTCAGTAGCTAAATCGAAAGCCGAAGCAAAGACCAATTTATTAACAACAAACTAATAAGGAAAACCCAAATGGAAAACAATTATTATGTTAAACTAAACAATAAAAACTTAAGAGGAAGGCGAAACAATTTTTTAATGAAAAAAAAAAACAAAAGAAAGTAAACTAGAATGCATTGCATGAATTAAACAAAGAGAAGAAAAACTAATAGAAACACAAAACTTAACTAAAGCTTAACGAATGTCAACTAAAACTAAACTTAAACTAAACCTACACTAATGCTAAAATTGAAGTAAAATTTAATTAAAACAACTAAAAAGGAAAAAGATTAAATTTCTAAAAGAAATAAAGTAAGAACCTAAAAGAAAAAAAAAACAAAAAATTCAGTGGCTAATGAAATAGTTTATTTTGAATTTACCGTATTGTATATTTAAATTTAAAAAGGGGAACCCCCAACAAAATATATTGTTATATCTTATCGAGGAACCGTGTTTTGCAAAAGCTTTAATATTTAGGGTGCCTACATTTGCTAAATTAGTATTTTACGATTTAAAAAACCAAAAAAGAAAAAAAACTAAACAAATACTGAAACCAACACCTACATACACGAAATAGTTAAAAGCTTGATCATAAAACGAGCCCAAGAAGTTAGGAACCTCGATTTCCAAAACGAATACACTGAGCAAAAAACAGAAACCGATACCAAAACAAATTAACAACAACTAACAGCTAAAGCAAATATTGTATTTGTATTTGAGATATGAATTTTAAGAATGTTTATTAGACTTACGATTTGTTATTTTGTATACATATATATATTATATGTATTATGTATGTAGTATAAACTGATCTGATGACGATTGTAATTGTTTTTTTTTTTGCTCATTAAGCATTTACCTCATAAGAATTCCCACTATTTATAGCAAATTTACCATATTACATAAAATCAATTGCTGTACTGTTATAATGTGCAACCCCAAGGAGCCGATAAGTAACAAAACAACCATAACAAGAGAGAGACCGATGAAAGTCGAGAGGAAAGAGGAAAACTCATAAAACTGTAAATTATTAATTAATGAAGAAAAAACCAAAAGAAAATAATTGAAATTTTAAACAATAATAAAGGGCTTTGTATGAAAGAAAAACAAACAAAAACTGAATAAAAATAAAATAAAAGTAAAAGATATGTTTTTGATTTAATCGGAACTGTAATACAAAACCGCAAAGTTAAATTAGTACAGTGAGTGTTTTGGCACAAAAAATTATATTTTGATTTTAAAACCGAAAAACGAGTGGATTTTTTAAAAATTTTGACCAAAACATTTTTCATTATGATTTTTGCGAAAATTTATTGGGAATTTTGTAACGAATTCAACAATGTATGACATTCCAATATTAGACCCTGATTTCCTAGTATTTGGATTAAAAAAAACGAAAAATGGAGCTAAAGTTATCCGGTTACGCGTACACAATTGCTTTTCGTTACAAAATTTTAAATCAGAAATTTAATTCAGCATGTTAAAGTAGCGATCGTCACGACAATTTTTTTTTATTTCGTTAAGAGATGTTTCTATTCGATATAAATTTGTTTGGGATATCAACAACTTTTGTGAAGTTTTTCATGTTTTTAGCTTTGGGAAAAAAAAACTAGAATGAATGAACATTTCATCGATAACAATAATTTATTTATTTCTGCTCAATATTATCACATTACAAAATGTCGGTATACATAGAATAACAAAAAAAAAGGTCTTTATTTATTGGTAGATGCGGTATATTCGGTCGAAGTATTGCTTCGCATATGTGATGGCTTCATAGAGGCTGACAATGGCGTATATAAATAACAAGTGGTTATGGTTAATCGTAATCTCTGATATCCCCACGATATCCCCACCTCGGCTCCCCACTCAATATAGACTTCTACTTGTTGCTGCCGCAGAAATTTGTCAGTTTCCGCCAGAAGAATCCGATCTTGGACGTCTCCTTCACTTGAGCTCTTTGGGCGGCCTTTTGGTTCTTGAAGATCACCCACTCACGCCTAATATCTGGATTTGCGGGTCCCCATCGGTCGCTGGGCTTCATTGAGGCCTTAAATGACTGTAAATGGAAAGGGGGTAAAATGTTTTAGTTTGGATTACGAAAAACAATTGGCCAAGCTGAACTCTAATTGGCAATAAAATTCGGTTTTATATGTATTCTTACATTCCAAAGGTTGCCTTGTGGATGACGAGAGATATACCAAATGCCCCAAAGCGGAAACTGGGCAGCTCCAATGGCAAAGAGCAACCAGCCAGCAACTGAAAGTTTTCAAAAAATATAACAATTAACTTTAAGCCAAATTGATGGTTTTTAAAAAACGTCTTACCATTGGCGGCTTCAGGGAAATACAGTTCGCTGTATTTAATTGGTTCGATGGTGGCCATCGAGTATATAAATATAATGATCATCATGACCGGTGTGAAGAAGGACCAGCACACCCGCCAGTACAGTGAAACACGGCGATTGCACATAAACTCGATGTCATCGCAGAAGTTCTGTAGACCTTTAGGGGTAAATGGGGTTTACAAAAATCAAATGGATAATATATCCTGTTATAGAAACACCCACCATAAACCCACACGATTCCAGCCAGTTCGAAAATGGCCAGAATAAAGACCACATAGGTTCCGCCATAGAAATCCACCAAAGTGAGGATCCACTGACCTCCCTGAAAAAAATGTAAATATTTATGAAGATTAGGGAATATACTTTATAAAAATGTGTTTAAAATCTAAGCTAAGTCTTTTAATAATTCAACCGGTATGCATTAAAAATATCAAAAACTGTAAGTAAAAATTCTACAAATTTTGCATTTCGAAAAAAAAAATGTAAAAAGGTTTGCCTTCCATAAATTATATAAAATTCTTCTTGTTCCAACATAATTAAGGTTTTTTCGCCTATTTATAATGATTTAATGGTTTAAAAAGTTAAAGGAAATCAGATCATTCCGTTTTAGAGAGTAAAGTATAAACTTTCCGCTCTTTAACCAACTTACCGGCGTTACGTAGACCAATCCCATGAGGAATCCACACACGGAGGTGGTCAGCGCCACCTTCCAGTACTTCCATCCCTTGAACTGGTCGCATATGATGGTCACAATGGTGCTCTGCAGGGCCACAATGGATCCAATTCCCAGGACGAAAAGCATGAAGAAGAACAGGACCGAGAAAAGCTGCGGAACTGCCTGGAACTTTGATATGGCATCCGGATACGAGATGAAGGCCAATCCCGTGCCACTTCGCACCACATCCCGGATATTTTCGATCTGCAGATTGTGAGCCAGGTTGCCCAATATGGCAAATATCGTGATGCCGCCCAGCAGACTGGTCAACGTGTCCAGTGTGGTCACGATCATGGCGTCCCTGTAGATCCCGTGATCGAATCGATTGTAGGAGGCGAACATGATGATCGGACCAGAGCCGACGGCCAGCGAGAAGAAGCACTGCACCACCGCCTCCTTCCAAACGGTGGGGTTCAGGAGCTCACCCCACTGGGGCTCCAGGAAGAAGAGGATGCCATCCTTGGCTCCTTCCAGGGTCACCGCACGGATCAGAAGGACGAAGAGCACCACGTAGGGGAACAGGGCCAGGAAGTAGGCCGCCTTGCCGGAACTCTTCACGCCGCGCATGATCACCAGGAAGATCACCACCCAGGAAACGAACAGGGCCAGCGTTAGCTTCCAATCGGGGTCACCCACGCCGTCCGAGATGTCCAGCTTCTCCTTGATCACTACATCCCTGTAGAGAATAATAGAAACAATATTAATCAATTTTTAATAATAACTAAAATAAATATAAATTTACTTTTAATTGGCAAATAGACCATCAAGATATAAACAAATTGTATATCTTACAAAAGTCAAAGAATTTCGATTATATTTATTTTGCCTAAAACCATTAAGATAAGATATATCAAATAATAATTGTAGCTACACTCGTAAAGCAGTATTTATCAATTCCAAGAACTGCAAGTTTAGTGCCTTATATCAACAGATAACATTATTTATTTATAATTAAAAAAATATGGACATCATAATATTTTATTAGCACATCCAAAAAACATCTATAACAATTACCAATTGTTAAAACCCTCTAATTGAACTATTGATTCTCTTAATGCGAATTGCTTACTTTAGGTAAATAAATATTTTGTACAAAAATTCTAAGAACTAGCTCGGAATTGTATTTTCGAGAGAATAATATTTGAATTGCTCTGATAAGCTAACCAAAAGTTGACATTTCTTACCAGAATTCTCGTTTAATGTTGTCACTAAATGCATTTAGCACATAGACAGAAAAACAATGTCAAGCAAATATTGACAACGCTGAATAATTATTTATTATTTTGCATCACTAGTAATTTTAATCTGCTTGTGATAATGAAAGAAACTTGCTCACTGTTCACAAGTCAGAGGGAATAAATAAATAAAAATGCTGTAAGCACAATATTTAATTCAAATCAATAAATAATCAGCTAGTTTAATCATAAAACGAATTTTTAAAAATTAAAAAAATAGATGTGCTTTAAGACCACTTCCTATACGAGTTTAAACTTTAAAATTCATTTTACTTACAGGAAGTAGAGTTCGGAGCTGCTTTGGAGTTTAGTGTCGTTGGTGGCCAGAGGAGTAAGACTGCTGAAATTTCTGGCTGATTCATTTGCCAAGGACATGCCGGTGAGCAGGTTCTCCGTGTATTCCTGGGGTCTCGAGTTCACGCAGTTGGTCCATTCATCACGGCAATAGGACCACGGCAACTCCGATTGGAAGGACACGAAGAGGTAGTAGAGGGTTAGGGCCAGCAGAGATGAATAGTACGAGATGATGCAGATGGTGCCGAAGGCCTGGCCATAGCCCACACCCACGAATCCCGGTACCACCGACCAGATCTTCACTG